CGGGGGAAGCAGGGCAGTAATGTTAATAGTCAGCTGCGCTACGAGAAAGACGTGGTTGCGTGTGGGTCATTGCCCGGTGAGGGCGCGTGCAGCTGTTTATCTCGTTTCACTGCAGGTCCCGTCGAATGGGGGACTGCCGGCGGCTGTTCGAGTATTTTGCGATTGTTGGCCTAAAGGAAGGCGCGGAAGATCTGATCCCAACAGCGCAGGAGTGTGGTTGCCGGAACTCTGCGCCACTGGCTCCCATCACCGACATATGCGTCATTTTTCCTGGATTGGGCGAAACGGTAATCATTTCCGTGCATATTACTCTCCGAATGCGTAATTTATCACTGATACTTGCTGCAGGTTCCGGATGGATTCGAGCGCATCACAAGCACACCGATGGGCTATCCGGCCGATCTCAATCACGGATCACTGCGCACGCCCTCAGTTTTTCTGTGTTTCCGCCGAGGATATCACAAGCCGCCACTAGTTGATATCGGTCTGTTCCCGATGCGCGTTCTGCTTAATTGATTTTGTGCTTTATTGTTGCGCATAGTTTCAGGTGTACTGGATGAGGGTCGCGGAGAAAAACCAATGCTCGACTCGAATACTGTCCTCTCCACTCCTTTTGGCCGCTCTGCAAACGTTAATAATGCTTCACCAGGTCTGTGCTGCTGCTGCTGCAGCCCCGCATTCTCGGCTTTCTCCTCTCCGCGCTTCATTATTTCCTTTCATAATAACAAAGCAGCACAGTCTCTTTAAACTCCGTCCATTTTAGGTGTTTTTCTCACGTACCGCCGGGCGCAAGCAAACAGCGCGCCAAGCCAGCTTGTCGTCACGCACATTTGTGTCATCTTGGCAAATAAGGGCGAAGTGGCCCCGCACACTTATTACAAAATTCCCAAAAATCTGAACAAGGTCAGAACTTGCCCACAGAGGCTTATTCATATCCTGAAAAATATCGATAAGATTACATGGAATTTTTGCGGAGGTCCTGAGAAATCGGGTTGAAGCTGCATTTGTTCTTCTCAGATGTTCGGTTGAATGTTAGTTAAGCTTTTCTCCTGAAACTTTCCTTGCGCATAATTTCCAGTGAAGTGTATTTGTTCAGGGCATGGTCGGATCGGATGTGTTCTTATGTTACAAAAAATCGCAGGGGACGTCAAAACGAATTGCTTATAAGCCATCGGTGTTGGATCATTTCCCACTGGAGAACAAGTTTACACTGGCGCAAAATATACCAATGTTCTGTCTTCCGATGGGCGCGCTGATTGAATGCTGGCCAGCCAGATGTCAGCCTCCGGATAAATCCTTCTCCACTTTTGTCCTTACTGATCAGGTTTCAGCGTCGTTTTGCTTTTCAGCTTGTTTATCGCTGTCACTGAAAGTGATCTGTTTTGCCAAAAAAGAAGCATATTCAGGATGGGAGTAAGCTGTACGGTTCGTCGATCACATTTTACGAGCCATATACGAAGCCGCTGAGTACAGAACAAATGGAAAAATTAGAGCTAACTAATGAAGCTGTTACACATGGAACAGTGGAGGATGCGTCCAGCACAAACGATCCAGCGGAGCAGGTTTTGCGGCTTTTCTGAATTTGTCCCAGCCCTGTTTTGAATCGGCTGCTGAAGGCTTTTTAGGTGACGTTTCACAGCAACATGTCAATCTGCATCATATCCAGATATCCGTTTTTCACTGCTTTCAAGCGCTTCCTGTTCTATCTTCACCGCATCTCGCTGTCCACCTCGCAGCCTGTTCCCATTGAGCGTTACATCTCCCATCTGGTAAGCTCCGGTGTTGCGTTGTTTCTTTTGCTAACATCTCTCCCAAAGGTGAATGAAGTAACGAATTGAGCACCGACTAGTGCAGCACACTGTGAAATTGTGTTCTCATACTATTCGAAATGCTTTCTGAAGTTCAAACTGCTTGCTTCTAGTAAATTAGGGTTTCCAAGAAGGGCATGAGGAATAGCTTAATTGCTCAGTTAAAAGATCCAGACAAAAATTATTTTTGCATCTTGGGTACTTTTCCTTTAATCTCCATTTTTCGTACTCCCTGAGTAAAAAACCTTGCGCTGATTTATTTTCTTGTGATTTCCCTTGCTAGAGTGAGGAACTGACTGGGAAGCTCATTTCACAGGCACTCAATTCAGCGTTGCTTTTTAATTTGACAAAATTTCGATGAACGAGAACATAGAAATTTTTTCCATGTACAGCAATGAAAATGATACCAGATTTTTGGAACTGTCAAAACTTTACAGTCGACCGAATTTGCAGTTGTATGAGGTGTCGTTCCCATCACCACGATGTCCACGT